TTCATAGCAGGTTAGAATATTTCATAAACAGGACATTTCATACATAGGACATTTCATAGCTGGTTAGAATATTTCATAAATAGGACATTTCATACATTGGACATTTCATAGCAGGTTAGAATATTTCATAAATAGGACATTTCATACATTGGACATTTCATAGCTGGTTAGAATATTTCATAAATAGGACATTTCATACATTGGACATTTCATAGCTGGTTAGAATATTTCATAAACAGGACATTTCATACATAGGACATTTCATAGCAGGTTAGATATTTCATAAACAGGACATTTCATACATAGAACATTTCATAGCTGGTTAGAATATTTCATAAATAGGACATTTCATACATAGGACATTTCATAGCTGGTTAGAATATTTCATAAACAGGACATTTCATACATAGGACATTTCATAGCAGGTTAGAATATTGTATAAACAGGAGATTTAATACATAGAACATTTCCTAGCTGGTTAGAATATTTCATAAACAGGACATTTCATACATAGGACATTTCATACATAGGACATTTCATAGCAGGTTAGAATATTTCATAAACAGGACATGTTATGAGATATTTCTTAGGAGAAAAATCAAGGCACAATTCCTGTTTTAAATATTTTGAAAGCTTTATCATAATGCTAAATTTGAGGTAAACTTGAGATTTAGGCTAAATTTAAGGTTGTCTTGACTTTTTTATCAAAAACTATTGAGAAGAGCAAAACTGTTTAGAATTTTTGATCTGTAAAATCAAAGTCCTGCCAGTAACGTCGCATAAACTTTATCCTTCTTAGAGTGAAGAGCCCTAATGTGATATGAATACTATTACTATGTCAACAGAAAGTTTGCAATAAAAATAACTAAGAAATACTATGTTTCTGCTTACAACACGAAATAAAGTAATTTGTTCAACAACATAGAAATTTACAATCATACACAAGAAACGATTAACATTAAAGATACCAAACCAAAAAAAACGTTGTTTTTATATAAGTAAGTCAAGATTTGATGAAAAGGGAAAATCATACAATCATAAAACTAAATCTTTAAAGATATTATTCAGATTGTCCCTTCCGAACCACAGGCCCGAAGGTTTCACAATACGGTCTTTAGCTGAGTGAAAAATGCCTAAAATTTAAGGTTTTCTTGCTTTTTTTTGCTATAAAAATCCACTGCTTACTTTATTTAAAATACTTATTGATATTTAAAATTTGAATTATAGTTTGCTCACTTCTGAATATTATCAGTATTACAGAATATTTTTGTTAATTAATCTAAATTATAAGATATAAATTTTATAAATATAATAATTTATGATCGTCATCAAAATTCAAATTTTAAGTACAGAGCGTCCCATATCATTTTAGATTACCTCTAATCTTTAACGACAAAATAAACCCTTAATACTAGAAAACTTATAATTTTCCGCAAGAAAATTCTAATATAGGCCTTATGTTAATTTTCAAATTGATTTATTCTAATTAAATTTTCTTATTAGTCCCGAAAATCGCAATTTAGACCCGTTGACGGTCTAATATGATGTGGGACACCCTGTATAAACACCCACATCCCCTCCTTCACATGTTCAATACCCCCCCCCCCCCTTCACCCCCATACCTACACATGAGGTCTTATATAAGGCTAAAAGTATAACAATAGGAATCTTATAATTAGGTTGGATAAGAAACAGATTAAAATCCTGATAAATTGTAGTTCTTATTCTTCACCCTGCTGTATACAGATT